GAACATCGTACCCACTGGAACTCAGATGCCCAATGATTGAGGAGCATTCTCTGGGCTGGGCTCATTTGGGTCTCCTCGTACTTGGGGTCAGATACATTTAGAAAAGTCCTCGTGTGAGTATAATTGCCCTTAGGGCCTGATCCAACGCTGCTTACCGTAAGCAATGCTTGGTCAACCTCTTGCTGTATTATTTGCATCGTCGTATCTTTACTTGAGCCGAAGCCGGGTAATGGCCCTGCTATCAGTTACTGGATCTGGTACATACGGGACGCTGGACCTGGTTTACAGCATGTGTTGCTCCCCACTTATAGATATGGCACAATTGCTCGCATACTGAGTATGATCTGCATCGTCATATCTTTACTTGAGTCGAAGTCGGGTAATGGCCCTGGTATCTGGCCCTGGTATCAGTTACTGGATACGGGACGCTGGACCCCGTTTACAACAGGTGTTGCTCCCCACTAACAGATATCATATAATTGCTCGCATACCGAGCATCATCTGCATCATCATATCTTTACTTGAGCCGAAGCCGGGTAATGGCCCTGGTACCAGTTACTTGATCTGGTACATACGGGACACTGGACCTGGTTTACAGCAGGTGTTGCTCCCCACTAATAGATATGGCACAATTGCTCGCATATTGAGTATCATGTGCCTCATCATATCTTTACTTGAGCTGACGCCCGGTAATGGCCTTGGTATCAATTACTGTATCTGGTACATACGGGACGCTGGACCCGGTTTACAACAGGTGTTGCTCCCCACTGATAGATATGGCGTACTTGCCTGGAGACCGTTGGTCCAAAGTTCATAGAGAAGAAGGCCTGGATGAAAGCAATTGTCTAAACAGGTAGCTGCCGCTTATCTAAGCCAAAACCAGGTCTTGGCCCTGATAACCACATGTGACCACCACTACTTCCTAAAGTCGTGCCCGTTAACAAGCCACAATTTTAGGAAACGTATCGGGCGCTACAGGGGAGCACCCAAATTGATCCGACTAGAAACATTTCTACTCTATTTTCTTCCGCAACCGATAGTTGGGCCAAGTACAGGTGGTTTAATTATGATGTATAATGGACGCTCCACGCAGTTTCCAGCAGGTGCAGCTCCCCACTAATAGATTGGAACACCAGCAGATGGCCTGCTAGAGGTGGCTGCTCTTATCACCTCCTTGAGCAGGGGCCTCCTCCCACTAGCATCGAGTAAATCGGTGTGTGGCACCTTTTTTGTATTTAATAATATGTACCAAACGATTTGTTCTCAATTTTTTTTATTGTTTTACAACGCAGAAAAAAATAAATAAAATGACGGCTCTGACAACAAAAGATACGACGTACAACCCCACAATCCTTTGTTGGCGGTTGTCATCATTTGTAGATCCTTGACGTCGCCACTGCACCCGACCCGAAAGTTACCCTCTCCCATACAAATGGGGTTGTAAGTTGTGTCCGTGTGCGCTGTCTGCGCGGAAGGCCCCGCCGAGTGGAAACAAGCGAGTCATATTATGACGTCGTCTTTCCATTTCTGGCAAACTTCCTTTCTCTCCTGCGGTGTGTGTTGGTAGCAAAGTAGGGGCGTGTCGTGCCGTGGCACACCCATTGTCGAAACAGTGGCACGATCATCGGTAGCGGGATGTCGTTCGGTTTTTCGTGCTCGGCCTTGGGCCCGTTGGATGAGCTTTCGTTGTCGTTGTTGTCGTTGGCGTCGCGTATGCTCCCAACACTGCGGCTCTCTCTTACTCCGGCCCAGTTGCTTACTGAAGGGTGGTCTTCCTAGAGTGCCCTCGTCCGGGGGGCGTAGTCCCAAGTCCATAAGCGTGTTGGTCGGCGGGTTGGGCGGGGGGGGGGGGGGGGGGGGGGGGGGGGGGGGGCGGGGTGACGAGGTTTTAGGGGGTTGGTCATCGGGTGTTCGTTGTCCATGGAAGACCATCACCGACGCATGCAGCAATTTGAGGCGCTGGGGTTTCCGAATTGCTGGGGCTGTATTGACTGCACCCATGTGTATGTCGACAAACCCCGCTCAAGGGACGACGATGACTATTGCTCGGTCGGCGCAACCGGTTCTCCCTCGTGACGCAAGTGGTGGTGGACTCGGAGCTGAAGATCTTGGACTTCTGCTATGGTTTTCCGGGGACTGTGGGGGATGCGCGTGTTCTCAAGAACACGTCATTGTACAGGCGAGCCCTGAAGGGGTCGTTGTTTTTTTACGATCCACAAGATCTGTTCCGTGGCGAACGACCGTCTATACCAGGTGTCCCTGGCGGGTACTTGCTCGGCGATGGTGGGTATCCCAACCTTCCCTGGCTTGTCATTCTGTACGGGTGTCTACCGGTGGTCACGCGAGCAATGTAGCAGTTTGACGCTCTGCACAAGATAGTGAGGTATTGCATCGAGCGGTTCTGTGTTGTGTTCAAGATGCGCTTCCAGTTCTTTTACCGGCCGCACATTGCTGACATCACGAGGGAGAGGCTGGAGTTCCACACTTGTTGTATACTCCACAACCTACTTCAGGAGTGGGGTGACCTGCCGGAAGCGGAGGATGAGTTGATGGATGTTTCGTCTCTCGACAGTCCACCTCCCGATGTTGACAGGCGTGTTGACAGTTGTCCGGTGGCGTCCATGTTCGGTCGGGAACGTGGGCAGGCGGTGAGGGACGCATTGTGCGCCGAGGTCCTTCGTTTGTGGGAGGCCCGACTGGATGACCAAAACTCCGTTTTTTTTGTGGGGTTTGCAGTGCCGCAGTGCCGTTGGGTTTGGCCAAAACAAAAAGGGCGTAGATGGTGCGTTACTGTGTAGTTGTTTTTTTTGCCGATTCGGCCAAGTACTGCAAGTTCGTTCAGTCCATTTCGTGCAACTGGCTTCGCTCCACAATCTTGAGTGTGATGTCACGTGGGGCGGCGTGGGCGAAGGGCGTTGTAAGCGTAACTCTGTTGAAAGCGAAACTTGCACAGTCTTATCCATCCATGGCGGACGCCGGGCAGCGCACGTGCTACGTGCACGAAAGATGTGCACTCATAGATAGTATGGAGAAGAGTGAGAAGGAGGTGGAGCGCCTACACCGGTTCTTGGTTGAAAGGGGAGATAGCATCACGGTTACATTGCGAAATGGGAGGTCGGTAAGTGAAAGGGACATCTCTCTGGAGAACATACATGCCCGTAGATGGGCGTCTTCAGTGTTGAGGAGGCTGCGTGACTCCCGGAACGCGTTGCGGCAATGCTGTGATGATCTTGTTGTGAACAACATGCAGATACGGCAGCAGGTTGATCAATGGAGACTGCGGGCAGATGACATGTGGGGGAGATTCGATCAAGCTTCCCGTGCATTGCGTGAGGCCGAGAGAGAGAGAGAGATGACTCCATGCGAAGGTTGGAGTCCGCTGAGGAAGATTTACGGGTGGCACATGACCAGGCTGAAACGACATGGAGGTTTTACGACGAAGTGCTTCACGGGGGCGGTTATGGAAGGAAGGCCCCGGACAACGAACTGAGTACATAATTCGCAACCATGACTTTGTCGTCTAAGGGGAAAGGGCGGGAGACTTCAACGAGTGACACGTCATCCGCGCAGCTATGGCGGAAAAGGATAGAGAGATCGTCATTCTGGAATTCAAGAACGAGATCCTACAATATCCGCCTTCGTTTTGGGAAGAGTGTGATAGAGAGATTGCATACTATTGCGAAATGACGGGCTTGCAACCGGCCCCGTATAAAACCATTTGATTAGACACATAGAGAGAGAGAGAGAGAGAGAGAGAGAGAGAGAGAGAGAGAGAGAGAGAGAGAGAGAGAGAGAGAGAGAGAGAGAGAGAGAGAGTTGTGAAATGACGGGGTTGCGAAACAGCGGGGTTTAAAATCAATTTCAATGTTGTTCATCTTCTTCTTGTTTTTTTTTTGCAAGTTTGGTTTTTGTTATCCATCTTCGTCACCTTCTGTTTTTCATCTTCTCGCGGTGCTACTTCTTCACCTTATGCGCCTTGTGCTTCGCCTTTCCTCAAGTATCTGCACCATCTGTCTATCTTCGAACGCAGTGTTGATCTTTCTGAGCGTTGATGAGGATGAGTTATATTTGCGGGGGGGAAGGCGGAGCCAACCTTTCTGGTGCCTATGAGTGTGTATGCTGTTATGGGGTTGTTGGGGGGGGGAAGGCGGCTGGAGACTTTTGATTTGTGCTTAGTCGCTCACATGTGCATTCCCAGACAGACTGTGGTGCCGCAGCCTGCCTGTACTTTTTTTTTTTTTTCACCACCACACACACACACACACACACCAAATAAAACAAAAACAGTCGCCCTTAACGATCGGTAATCCATTATAACAAAAAGAAAAATGAACATCGTGCCATCGTCGTAATCTCTCTCTCTCTCTCTCCGTTGTAATCGAGCCATGGCGAATGCTCCTAAGCGTCACCGTCGTTGCCATCGTCGCAATCTCTCTCTCTCTCTCTCTCTCTCTCTCTCTCTCTCTCTCTCTCTCTCTCTCTCTTCTCTCTCTCTCTCTCTC